TCCGTAATAGAAGCTATGACAACGAAATTTGATATTGAAAAATTCAATGGGAGAAATTTCTCACTGTGGAAATTGAAGATGAAGGCCATCCTGAGGAAAGACGGGTGTCTAGCGGCTATCAATGAAAGGCCAGTGGATTTCGCAGATGACAACAAATGGAACGAGATGGACGGAAATGCTATGGCAAACTTTCATCTAGCATTAGCAGATGAAGTATTGTCAAGCATCGAGGAGAAGAAGACAGCTAAGGAGATATGGGATCATCTCACAAAACTGTACGAGGCCACATCGTTGCACAATAAAATTTCCCTTAAGAGGAAATTGTACACTCTCCGTATGTCAGAATCTACTTCAGTGACGGAGCACTTAAATACACTGAACACCTTATTTTCTCAGCTTACATCATTAAGCTGTAAAATAGGAGAACAAGAACGTGCTGAACTTCTACTTCAAAGTCTACCGGATTCGTATGATCAACTCATCATCAACTTGACAAACAATAATGTCACTAGTCTAGTCTTCGATGACGTTGCAGCTGCTGTTCTACAAGAAGAAAATCAGTGCAAGAACAAGGAAGACAGACAAGTAAATCTGCAACAAGCAGAAGCGTTGACAACAATGAGAGGGAGATCAACAGAACGTGGCCAAAGTAGCAGTCATAAACATGGTAGATCGAAGTCGAGGAGCAAGAAGAATTTAAAGTGCTACCACTGTGGAAAGAAGGGTCACTTGAAGAAGGATTGTTGGAGTCTAAATAAAAACTCCAATCCACAAGGCAATACCGCAAACACTTCAGATGATGGAGATGCTCTATGTTGTGAAGCGTCAACCACCGTGGAAGGCAGAAAACGTTTTGCAGATATATGGCTCATTGATTCTGGAGCAACATATCACATGACCTCAAGAAGATAATGGTTTCATCATTATGAACCTGTCTCAGGAGGATCTGTGTATAGTTGCAATGATCATGCCTTAGAGATCGTTGGCGTGGGAACCATCAAATTAAAGATGTATGATGGAACAATTAAAGTTGTTCGAGATGTGCGGCACGTGAAAGGTCTGAAGAAAAATTTATTATCCTACGGATTGTTGGATAATAATGCAAGCAAGATTAAAACACAGAAAGGAATCATGAAGGTGTTCCGTGGAGCGCTTGTGGTGCTGAAAGGCGAAAAGATAGCTGCAAACTTGTACATGCTGAAGGGAGAGACTTTGCTAGAAGCAGAAGCCTTTGTTTCCTCATGTAGTTCAGATTCTGCAATGCTATGGCATAAGAAACTTGGACACATGTCAAAACAAGGAATGAAAGTCCTTGTGGAGCAAAAGCTACTTCCCAGCTTAACAAAGGTATCACTTCCTTTGTGTGAGCATTGTATAACAAGTAAGCAACACCGGTTGAAATTCAACACATCAAATTCTAGAGGCAAAAGTGTTCTAGAATTGGTTCACTTTGACGTATGGCAAGCACCGGTCACATCCCTAGGCGGAGCAAAATACTTTGTCTCATTTATTGATGACTACTCCAGGAGATGTTGGGTGTACCCTATTAAGAAGAAGTCAGATGTGTTTTCAACTTTCAAAAACTTCAAAGCGCGAGTGGAACTTGATTCTGGAAATAAGATCAAGTGTTTCAGAACAGATAATGGAGGAGAATACACAAGCGAAGAATTTGATGACTTTTGCAAGAAAGAAGGCATCAAAAGACAGTTCACAGTGGCGAACACTCCTCAACAAAATGGAGTGGCAGAGCGGATGAACAGAACCTTGTTAGAAAGAACAAGAGCAATGTTGAGGGACGCAGGCCTAGAAAAATCATTCTGGGCAGAAGCAGTCAATACCGCCTGTTATTTGGTGAATCGAGCTCCATCAACTGCAATAGAGCTGAAGACACCAATGGAGATGTGGACTGGTAAACCAGTTGATTATTCAAACCTCCATGTATTTGGAAGTATTGTGTACGTGATGTACAATGCCCAAGAAATTTCAAAGTTGGATCCAAAATCCAGGAAATGCAAATTCTTGGGGTATGCTGATGGTGTAAAGGGGTATCGCTTGTGGGATCCCACTGCCCGCAAAGTGATCATCAGCAGGGATGTTATCTTTGTAGAAGATAAACTACAAAGAAAGAAGATGATGATAGCGCTGAAAAGTCAGAGACTACACAGATACATGTGGAAAAGGAGGTTGAACAAGGAGATTATTCTGAAGCAGAACCAGCACATGATGAACAAGAACCAGAGAGTTCTGAAACTCCAACAACTCGTCGATCAGATCGTGTGAGAAGACGTCCCAATTGGGACTCAGATTATGTTATAGAAGCTCAAATGCTTCACTGTGGATGATGGCGATGCAAGAAGAAATCGAAGCCCTTCATAAAAATAATACATGGGACCTTGTGCCACTACCACAAGGAAGGAAGCCAATTGGTAACAAATGGGTCTTCAAAATCAAGCGAAATGGTGACGATCAAGTTGAGAGGTATCGTGCAAGACTGGTGGTCAAAGGATATGCTCAAAAGGAAGGTATTGATTTCAATGAAATATTTTCTCCTGTGGTTTGACTAACAACAGTTCGAGTAGTTTTGGCAATGTGTGCTACATTGAACTTACATCTAGAGCAACTAGACGTTAAAACAGCTTTTCTTCATGGAAATCTTGAAGAAGAGATTTATATGCTCCAGCCTGAAGGTTTTGAAGAAGACGAAAAGAAGAACTTGGTTTGCAGGTTGAACAAATCTCTGTACGGTCTAAAGCAGGCGCCGAGGTGTTGGTATAAGAGATTTGATTCATTCATTATGTGCCATGGATACAACAGACTTAATGCAGACCCTTGTGCTTATTTCAAGAGGTCTGGTGATAACGATTTTGTTATATTGCTGTTGTATGTGGATGACATGTTGGTTGCAGGACCCAACAAAGATCATATTGAAGAATTGAAGGCACAACTGGCTAGGGAATTTGAAATGAAGGACTTGGGATCAGCAAACAAGATTCTAGGGATGCAAATTCACCGAGACAGAAGTAATAGGAAGATTTGGCTTTCACAAAAGAATTACTTGAAGAAGATCTTGTCACGATTCAACATGCAAGATTGTAAGCCAATTTCTACCCCTCTTCTTATTAACTTCAAATTATCCTCCAGTATGAGTCCTAGCAGTGAAGAAGAGATGATGGAGATGTCTCGAGTACCGTATGCATCAGCAGTGGAAAGTTTAATGTTCGCTATGATATGCACAAGACCAGACATTGCACAAGCAGTGGGAGTTGTTAGTCGGTACATGGCTAATCCAGGCAAAGAGCATTGAAATACAGTAAAGAGGATCCTAAGATACATCAAAGGGACCTTAAATGTTGCATTATGTTACGGAGGATCAAACTTACTAATTAATGGGTATGTAGATTCTGACTATGCAGGGGATTTGGATAAAAGCAAATCTACTACAGGATATGTGTTCAAAGTTGCTGGTGGAGCTGTAAGCTGGGTTTCAAAATTGCAGTCAGTTGTGGCTACGTCAACAACAGAAGCAGAATATGTAGCAGCTACACAAGCCAGTAAAGAAGCAATTTGGTTGAAGATGTTATTGGAGGAGCTTGGGCACAATCAAGAGCATGTTTCTCTTTTCTGTGACAGTCAAAGCGCCTTGCATCTAGCAAGGAATCCAGCATTTCATTCAAGGACAAAACACATACGAGTTCAGTACCACTTCATTCGTGAAAAGGTGGAAGAAGGAACAGTAGATATGCAGAAGATCCATACCAAAGACAATATAGCAGATTTCATGACAAAGGCGATTAACGCTGATAAATTTACTTGGTGTCGATCCTCTTGTGGCCTGTCAGAAACGTAAGCAACATGATGGTATAAGGTAGAAAGAATGGTGTGAAGATATGATTGTTCCAATCAAATCTTCAAGTGGGAGATTGTTGAAAGTCCAAGTTAATTATCAAACTTGGGGGCACCGAAAGTGCACAAGCCAGCAATTGTGGAAAAATTTGCAAGGGTAAAATTACACTTTTAGCCCCCTAGACTTTAGGGTATTTACAAATTAGTCCTTATGATTCAACTATAAATACCCTAGCTTATTTAGCTTCAAAACCATCCCAAAGCATTCTAGCTTTCTTCCAATACTAGAGAGAATTTAGAGAGTTTCTTGAGAGTTGTTTTCTCCTTTTTTATCAAGAGAGAATTATCATTGTTTTCTCCTTGGTAGATCGAGAGAGGTTGTAATTCCTATTTTCTCATAGTGAAATTCTTCTACCGTTTCCCGTGGTTTTTACCCTAAATATTTTAGGGGTTTTCCACGTAAATTTTGTGTCTCTTTTATCTTCATTTTTATTTTCTCAAATTATCAGTTGCGATTTTGCTCTATCTGATAGGCGTCTTCTGCAACAAAAAATATCCAAATGTCCTCCGACTATTGGATGTTTTCTTTTAGTCACATAATCAACAAAATTAAATAGAATTTTTCAAATAGAGATAGAGGTATAAAAATTATTATTAATTGAACAACACAAATTTTAAATCATCTACCATTATAACTATTTAATTATCAGGTTGATAAGCATGAGTTATGCTAATTTAGTGATTAAGGTATTATTTTTTTTCTGGAGGTTTTAGGTTTACACATCCTAAATGTTATGGATATAAATGTTTATTGTTACGTGATTGAGTTTTTTTTCCAAACAAATATTATATTAAATTTACTTCAAAATTATAAAAAGAAAGTACCAAATTGATAAAAATACAAATTTAAAAGACTAAAAGAATTATTTTTAAAATTTCTTTTATAGATATAAACAATTAAATATTTTTAAAAAAAATTATTTTTGATATATCGGTTTTGACACTTTTGGGGCTCACTATGTACACATAGACGACAGATGATTGGGGAAAGCAATAAGACAAAGTTGGCCATGGAAAATGGGAAAATTACGTTAGAAATAGAACAGGATTTTGGGACAATGATCGGTTGACATTCTATTATTTCCTATGTATAATAGTAAACTTGGTGTTAGCCGTTTAAAAATGTCAGCAACTCAGTATTGCTACATCAATTGAGGCCTAGCATTCAACCATTACAAACATTACAACCACCGCTTTGTTGACTTTGTTGATGGATGAACTGGAGGTGGTGTCTTGGCATTCCTGTTATTGCTCATAGGTGTACCTAGATATCGGAAAAAGCTTCGACTCTCAGCACAAAATGTTAAGTGTTCAAATAAATCTAGTATGAGAAGAATGAGTTGACACTTACTCGACTCGACCGGCTTCCCCCCAAGAGAAGATCGGCGGGACCTGTCCGCTGTTTGGACACCGGTAAGCGATTCCCTACGTGCTGTTTTTGCATGAGCCATGACTGGTGACTTCAAATCATTGATGTCCCTTGTGACAGGCGACTTCACTTCTAATGTGTTCTGTAGGTTCCTGCAATTTTGCGCAGAGATGTTCAGATTGAAGTACAGTCAAGAAGGTATAGTTGTTCACATCTTTGGATACAATATTGGTAAGGAACTGAGTTTCACCTACCTCTTGTCGGATCCACTAATCAGCTTCCCGATCGTGGTGCGCAGAGATTTCCTTATTTGAGATCCTTTTCCATTTGCAGTTCGGGGCTCGGTAGATAGTACACTTTGCATGCCATTCTGAATGTCATTTCTAGCGTGTACTTTTGGCTCAGGTGTACTTGATAACTGTAGTCTAGGAATTTTCGTTCGGCAATCTGTTTTCAGCGCTTGCTTTTGAATGGAGTAACTAGTAGGACTTCGAGGAGCTTTAGAATGGTAAATTTCCATCATTGAGCTTCCATTGTTGATATTCCCAAACTGTTCTGCATCTTGAAACCGATTATATTTCTGTGCAGATACTGTGCTAGCATGTAAAGACTTGCTGACATCTGCAGATAGTTTTATCTGACTATTGTCTTTCCCTTCCGAGCTCAACCTCCTCACCCGAGTTAGAGTTGATGGGGTTTTTGGACCTCTCCTGTCTTCAACATTCATTGCCTTCTCAGACTTCATGGTGCTGCTGCCATTCTCGATGCTCAACCTTCGCATACGTGGAGGAGTTCTCTCAATTGTTGCCCTTTGTTTACCAAATGGAGATTTAGGTTCTTTTATGTTGTAGGAAGGTGTGCTAGGTTCTTCCTTATTTGCCAATGCCTTCTTGAGGTTTTCAATCTAAAAATATATTCAATAGTTACAAGAGCAGCCCTCAAAATAACAGCCAATTCTCTCAAGTGTCGACTTGCTGAAGGAAATTATGCAATTAATATTTGAATGTATGCTTACCTGCTCTTTGAGCTGCATAACCTCACTGCTCTCTTTATTCAAACGAGCAGCACCGAGTTCCACCGTTGAAACTCTCCGAGCAAACTTCAAAGTACTAATTGTTTCTCCAAAAGAGTCTTCCTCCGGACTCACATGAGCAAACATCAGTGTCTTTGCATGTCCACCTAGAGAATTCCATACGAAAAATATCAATAAAATAAAAAAATCATAGGAGACAAATAACTTCCACAATGGAAGGAACTCAAGTTTGTACATCTTCAATCACATTAAGCAAAAAAAAAAAAAAAAGTGTATTTGATAACTGAAGTGTAAATGGAGAAAAGTGTATGCGCGAAACTAATAAGTTGGAGATTTTGTTAACATTAACAACCTAATGAGTCCTGCAAGAGAAGAGTGAGTTTGCTGTTTCGGTAAGGGATATGAGAATTCTTCTGAGCCAAAGCTGTGATGACATCTCCAAGGCAAGAAAGGGACTTATTAATATGTTGAGCCTCCTTTAGCCTATCTCCCGTAACTTCCGATTTATCCACCCTCTCACTTCCTGCTAGGTCCACCAAATGCAAGCAACTACGAAGTATGTTCCCATATGCATCTTTCCCATGCACGTGTACTGTTAGGACACTGCAAAGGAAAACACACAATCATCATCTGCAAAACAACTTGAACAGCCCTTTAATTTTGACCTCCTTGCTCTATTAAATGAAAAGCACTCTTCTATTAATGAAATCAAGACATCGTTTCTCACCTGTGGGAGCGGCTACTTCTATTATTGATTGCAGTTGAACAAACAACACGGTTCACCTCTCCATATTTCATTAGATTTAGTACATCACTTGTGGACTTCACTGTAAGCAACGTAGCATCCGGAAGGCTTAAACCATTATCATTTGTGCAGCTACGAATCTCTAACTTGTTCACGTTAAGGTTACAAAAAGCATTTACATGAGTTCTTTAAAAATTACAAGGTGAAAAGGCAAATTATAATTGTGTAAGACAGAAATCAGACAGAAAGGATATTTGGTGGATGATGAATCTTCTGAAAGAAGGTCTCTGATTTGTTCATTATATATCTCCACCATTTGAACTTTAATCTCGTAACTTATGATATCTTTCCTTTGATTAGAAATTTCAAAGAGATTTTTGAGAGCTAGATAATTAATCCCCAAATCCTTAGTTGATCCTCCGGATGGACCACTCTGTCACCGATCCATAAAGTCAAGTCAGATTAAAGAAAAGGTCAAAACCTTTTATCTTGTAACTAGGGAAAAATAAAATTAAAATATTGCAACTCTCCGAATTCCAAGGCCTATGTTATCCGGATTCAGGGCGAAGTATACGCCCAACATATGTAAATTATTTTTCATATATTGGACCATTAACTCCATATCCATGTATGAATATATGTAGAATATAAATGCCAGACATGGGTACTTTACGATCAGGATAACATAGGCCTAGACCATATAAATACTGACTAGAAAAATTGTACCAAACTAAGTATAAATCAGATAAAACAACTACTGTTTGTCACTTTTTTAACTATGTGAAGTAAGTGAAGTTCTTACCATAGTATAAGTTTTGCCTGATCCAGTTTGACCATATGCAAAGATACAAACATTATAACCATCCATGACAGATCGAATCAAAGGCTGAGTGTCATTAAACACATCATCTGAAAAATAAGAGCCATGGTGTAAAGAAATCAAATCCATGTACAAGATAAGACATCATAAACAATTAGGCTGAATTTTCTTATAATACCTTGTGTTGCACTTGGACCAAAAACACGATTAAACTGAAAGACTTTTCTTCCATCCTTTTTGGATTTCAATGGGTCCGAAATCACAAGTGAGCCATCCTCTCCAATAAAATCAATTACATTTCTTGCTTCAGCACAGAAAATAGGTCTAATTCTACAGAATACTCGAATATTCCCTGGAGGTAAACATTTTTCAGAACATGACTAAGAGATGCCAAATTAAAACATACCTATGATGCCTAGTTAACCATTGTTTTATACCTTTCAAATCCTGTACCAAATTATACAACTTCCTGTTTTCTTCCGCCACCTTGTGATATTGAACTGCAGCAGTGGACATCTCTTCTACTTGGCTTCCTGAGACCGTGCACAAGAATAGACACATTTAACTTGCTACAAAATATTCTCAACAAGGGTTACTCAACTTAGGTACAAGATGATTGTTATCGTAACATACCTATGTTTTTCAAATCCTTTTGCAGTTGTGATTGTAAGTCTTCAAACTCTCTTTTTGTTGTAGACAACAAATCCTTGAGGTCCTGAAAATAAAATTAAAAACACTATGATGAATGAACCAGCAGGCAGAAATTAATGCATCTCAAATGTTGGAATAATCCAAAAATAAGAGTGAGTCCTTGCACAATTTGTTGTAAGGAATACTGAATTATTAGAATGCAACATTTTCCATCCATGTTACCAGATTCTACGTTTTTCCTAGAGAACTCGTGACCATGCATTCATTTGGACATAAAATATGGGTATGATCCTTCAAATGCACGAAAATTTAAAAGGTTGAGCATAACACATACAATTCAACACCCAGTGGTTGTTTTCCATAATGTTTTTGCAACAAAGACAGAGTAGGTGAAGCAAAAGAAATACATACCGAAAGTTCTTTTTCCTGCGTATTCAATAAATTCAAGTGATTTTGGTTTGCCTTTTTCATGTGAGCTCTTGGTCCCTGAAAAAACGATGAAGCAGCGCTTGTCAGATTTGCGACAAATACGGTAATCAATGCAAAACCAGCAGATAAGGTTGTATATAGGCTGACACAGAACCTGTTAAGGAGAGCTAATATCTCCATGGTTACATACACATAATGATACTCAAGAAAAAACACCAACAATCTTTTAATGGATAATTTTAGATTCTTGTAAGTTTTTTATTTCACATGTTGAACTTAGAAGCTGCACTATTTGCCATTCATATTTAAATGGAGGGTTCTAAAATTTACTGTTTACCATAGAAGTTTGCATTTTATTGCTAAAATTGATAGCTAAGTTGAGGTTAAAGTAACTAAAAGTAATTACAAGCTTATGGAAAGTGTCGCGGCTTGGAGAGGTGGGGGACATGAATCTCAAATCAGAAAGGAAAAGGGAGGTCCTGGAGTTTAACTGGTGGTGCTGCACATCCTATGAGACATGTCTTTTGTGAAGAGGGTACTGGCCCCGTGACAAAAGTCACAAGCTATGATTTCATATTCTACATATTTCTTAAAAATACTCAAGTTCAACATCGATGTCTAACACGTACTCAGACACGGATATGGATACGATCCTCCAAAATATATAGAAAAACTTAGATAATGTTGAGTATACACATGAAATGAATATATCTATTTCCTACACTGACCTGAATATGGATAAAAAAGGTCAATATGTTATTATTCTGGCAGACTGGCATTAAAACATGTAGACCTCATCAATTCAGCAAAATATTTTTATAGATGGTGAGAACGTATACCTGAAATTGTCTACATGAAGATATATCCTCTAGAGGCATAGATGTAGAGTGAACAGCAGAGCCATTACTTTCTTTTACAAACTCTTTAAACATTGATTTCAGCTGTTTTGGAGCACAAAGGAGATGACTATAATCAATCAAAGATTTACTGAAAACATAATGAGACAGTTCATATGACCAGAAATTGCATTTATCTACCCTAATGATTCATTTAGACAAATTTGTGTATTTTTAATCAAGTATAAACATATAGGTGACAAATAGAAACGAACCAGCTGGTACTGGATAATAAGTTTTGAGATATCCATAATTTAAGAATTTAGTCCACAATACATAAAGCAATCCTATGGGCTAATTTCTCAGAAGTATAGCTCTGATGAAATTTCAATAAGAGAAAATGAGAAGTGTTTCTTGGCTGTTCCGTGCTCACCTCAGGGATCTTATTTTGTAGTTGTTCCTCCAAGCAACTTGAAATCATCTTGCTCAATACTTTGACTGAATCCTGTTACACAAGAGAGTTTAGTACAGGATTTCTTGAATAGAACAAGCTCAATATACAAAAAATATATCTGTATATTACTGGATTTCTATTACGGAAAGTGCCCAAAATGTTGTCATCAATGTTTTCCTTTGTGTCAACCATGTAGTCAGCAAGTAACTTCACAATTGTATCTGCAAACACATGCATCACACAAAGGTAAATTGATAAGGAATTCGATTACTATTCTCTCTAAAACCATGTTTGCTGTGGATGTTACATATGTTAAAAGAAATGCATATAAATAGTTTTAGTAACAAAAACTTGTAGTGCTAATTATCTTGTCTAAACTCTAATGCGTATTTCATTTTTAGTTACTAATTAAAAGAATCAAGAAAGCCTCTGACAAAATGGAAAAGAAAGACATCAAATAAAGACGAATCAAAAAACCTTCAAGTTTATCGTTTTCGCCATGGGCAGGTGGTTGTTTATCACAAGCAGCAGACATGTCCAACCGCCTACAAGATTCTGATGAGGCTAGCGAGTGGATCTTAGTGGAAGAATGCATAACAATGGGAGACCTTGTAAGCTTATAATATCCATTCCCAATTCCGCAATTAATCTGCTTACATTCATGGTATGACTTCAGGGCTAATATGCAGTCTACAACCTTAGATGCAGACCCTGCCTCCACGTTGTCCTGGTCCAATAATTGACATAGTTTATGATTTTCAACATAAAAATTGTAGCCAGAAACTACAATAATTATTCAATGTAGAATCCGAATTTACCCTTTCGAGATCACAAGCTTCAAATGCTGGCAGTTTAAGCTCTTTAATGGCAACAAGAAAATTCCTCACGTTTTCGAAATATTGATAGGCTCGTGGAGGCTGAAACTCCCGGTTGAATGATTGTGCATGTGGATTGCTCTCAACAACCTAAAAATTAATGGGAAAGGCGGTTAATTTTATAAGATAAGAATGAATTAAACATGGAACAAAAGATAGTAAAACAGATGGTACCTTGGCGACAGCACCAGGATGGATCTTGTTAATGACATGGCAAAGAATCAAACCATTTCTCAAGCAAGAAATGAACTCTTTCTCTGATGGCTGGCCTGACATCCCCAGTGGGCCAATTAAGGTTTCTAACCAAGCAACAGCCACGTATCTTCTCAAAGCTACAAAAACCAATGAACAAAATTTGGCAAATTCTTTGATAAAAAAGAAAAGTAAGAGAACAAACTAAACTTTTGAATATCATCAAACTTTTTTTCTTAAATAAAGGAATCTTTATGGGAAATGGAAAAAAGAAGTGGAAAATGCCTTCATTGTTTCTTTTTTTCATTCCCTTGCTAACATAAGAAGAAAGGAGTAAAGAAAACGAACCGGCTTCTTCGGCTTTCCTTGAAGCCAAATTAAGGTCATGGAACCCAGTTCTTGTAACAGACTCCATTTCGAATCCCTTTCTTCTGTTCTTCCTTTCAAATATCAAATCAAACTCATCAGAGCAAAGCAACAAAACCCATTATCCAGTCATCTCCATATACATTAAAATATAAAACTTGGAACAAAAAAATTGAGAGAAGGAACATACTTCTGGGAATCCTTTCTGGGTATCTTTCTCTAAAACAAAAAGAATTGAAGAAAAGTGAGAGAAATGTGTTGTAGCCGCAGTCAAATTAGGATGTTTAATTCTTGTGTGTGGGATATCTCTCTCTTTTTGTGTTTGCATTGATATTGCAATCTTCTAATTTTGTTTCTTCCGATGGTCCTGGCTTCGGTTTTTGGTTCGGATCCGAAGCTCGGGAGTTCAAAAATCGTAACGTTAACTTTAGAGCAGAAATTTGAATTCAAATACGTAGGACCACGCGGGGGATAATCCTGTCCGTTGCTTATGCCACGTGGAATATCTGAAATCTGCGGTGTGTGCACTCCCAGAGCAGTAAAATGTTAGGGTTTAGCTTTCTAGTAAGATATAGATTGATCGGAATCTAATACGTTAAGACTTGAGTCCAACCCATTTTTAATATTATAATATTTTATTTTTATATTTATATCACATAAATTAAAAGGATTGTCCTTTCTTTTAAATGTCCGATCGATTGGAATTAGTAGATCAATTCACTAAATATTAGTGGTTATAAAAAATAAAACAATTTAAATTTAATATTTGAAACCACTTAAATTTTTAATGTGTTTGATAACCTAAAAAAACTATTTGTTATATTATTTTTAATAAAAAAACATGGAAAATAATAAGCAAATATGATCTATTAATCATTTAATGATTTTTTTAAAAATATTTCATTTTATTTTATATCTTTGCCTTTGAAGTATTATTCTTTAAATTTTTTATCTATCAAATAATGTAATTATATTTAATATCATAAAATATTAAATAAATTTTATAATTTAAAATTCAATCTATGATTCTACGCTACTTTGTATTTACCCCATATTAATAAAAAAAAAGTCCATAATCTTACTAATCAGTTGATGAATATTTTGAACATGTCCCATTTTATTTTATTTCTTTGGAGTGCATAATCTTTCAATATTTTCATTTATCAAACAATCTAATTATATCTAACACCATGTAATATCAAATAAGTTTTATAATTTAAACTCAATACTTAAATTTTAATATTTAATATTTTAAAAAACTTAATTTTCCAACAGTTACTTATTATAAAATTTTATTAAAAGAGTCATATAAATGATTATATATTAAATTAAAAATAATATAAATATATATGTCATATCTATTTAAATCTCATACTTCGAATTGAATTAAATCTAAATAAGTGTAATATATATCAATAAAATATAAAATTCAATCCAATTTCAATCTAACTCGTTCCAAAACTCGTCTATCACATATATCTGTCCAAATCAATAAATTAGTAGTTCTATATTATTTTTCATTGAATTTTAAAAATTTTATTTTGGTGTCTATAATATTATTACCAAAAACCAAAAAGATAAAATGAATTGAAAATATTAAAAAAAACCAAAAATATATAAATTTGAGAAAAACAATCTTAAAACATTAAAAAATAAAGAGACAAAAATATTAACATTTGGTTGAAAGATCGATTGAGTTTGACTCAATTTATATTATTGTTGGAACATTATATACGAGAAAAATTCAACATGTAATATTATTGGATTTATTAGTGGGGAGAAACATGAATAGACAGAGATTCGGCTTCAAGCAACTTTTGCGGTTTACTATGGTAAGAGTTTAAATTATTATTTTCATAAAACCATCCAAACAAACAGCAAGAGCAGACAAACAAAGAGAAAACAAAAAGCAAACAAACAAAGACAGACAAACTCGAATTTAAATTTTTTTAGTTAAGTGGAGTTTATCAAATTACAAGACAAATCAATTAGAGATAAATTTTTTGACATCGAGTCGAATAAAAAATTAATACTTTTCAAATAGAGTCAAGTCAAATTTTGATTACCTTACTAAACATTGTACGGTACCAACAGCTTACACCTATCATCAAACCCGGGAACCCAATACCATAACCGAACAGTAACAACCATCATCCACACGGCCTAAACCAAAAACACCACTGAACCCCTTTAACTCTCACATTTGTCACACCGACCCTTGCCATCACTTGCCCGTAGCAATAATCAAACCATTGCCTTACCAACTCTAAACTATATAACTAACCAACAAAAAAATCTATACCCAAAAACCAAACCAACACCTCCTCACAAATAAACAAGCCCTCGTGTGTATCCTAAACCTGTAGGGAAATCTACAAACCGTAACCAAACAAAAAATAAAATAAAAGAATGATTTGAAAGAAAAAGGAAGAAACTAGAAAAATGAAAAGAGGAGATTTTGAAGCATATTATATCTTGAAGTTGGGCCAATCCTACCATCAAATTTAAGATCAAATAAGGATATCAAAGAGTTTTGGACCATATATGTCACATTTAAAGTGTCATTTTTGTCACTAGACTCAAACTCAAGATGTTAAGATGAATCTACAAATAAAATTTAGAATGAAATGACTATCTTTTGCGATGTACGACGACGAGTGATGATGTTAAAGGTGATGAACATGACCAGATTCTAGAATTCTAGAGAGAAAGTAGTGGAAAAAAGAAAACTAGAGAGAGGAGAAAAAAATGAAAGATAAAAAATCTTAAAATGTGATAAATGATGTCATTTTAGATAAATCGACTGTCTGTTTATATGATATAGAAGCCAAAAGTATTTTTTTGTGAACTGCAAGTGTTCTCTGTTTATCCGTTTAACAATCTAAGCAAACATTACAATACATTGTTAGAAGTATAACAATCTGAGATGATAAAAATAAAAGGGAAAATAAATCTTATTAAATAATTAAAAATAGTATAGTAACAAATACAAATGAAACAACTGATTGGAAACGAGTCGAGGCCAGCAGATACGCAGTTTCCCTAAGACAAATTTTTGGCCACTCCATGGTGTTTGAAATCAAACAACTAGATGATCAGCTACAGTTGCACTACTACAGAGATCACAGACTATTCCTTGTCTTTGTCTATCACCGAAAAAACTTGAGGAGAGAAAACTTTTTGAATAGTTTTTTAGTTGTTCGAATTGTGTTTAACCTAGTAGGTTTACACGATATTTATAAGGATTTCACATTGCGAATAATTGGAAATTTTTGACCTAATGAAGCATTAATGAGAATCATGTAATTTCAAAAATTATTGTTTTGACTAAAGGAACCTTTTAATATTTATCATTTTAATTCCAAAACAAAAATTTGAAAAGATGTGCTCTATTTGAGGAAAAAACTATTTCACATTTGGGTTAAAAATATCTGCAAGCCCACAAAGAGCCAGACCGATTCGGACATTCACGTTACCCACATCGTGCACATCTGTACATATACGAACCAATAATTAGTCCACATTTTCTTTAACAACATTTGGATCAATTTCTCATTCAAAGCTCCAAAATTATCAATGTTTTTCTAACAATCTCCCACATGAATGAAAATTGATCATTTTATCAAAACCATTTTGACTTGATGTGGTGATAGACTCTACAATTGATAATCACATATGATAGGTAGGTGTCCTCCATTGAACCTTCTTTTGTGACATCATATTTACTTTACTATCTAACTAATAGATGTGATGTCCTTAAATTATTCGGTTGTTTATGTAAATGATGATATACTTCACATAACTACCTTTTTGACAAGAATTTTAGTTCTCACTGATATTTCCTTAAAGCCATGAACATCGCTTGGTTCTACAAGAGTTTGAAAGAACTATGCCCAATAGTTTCCTTGAAACGACCCCACTTAACTATCAGATATGTGACTTATGTTGCTTAGCTCATAGAAGCACACAATGGTCATTAAAAGCTTTTCTTATTCTATACCAATTTTATCACTATTTTATCAAAGGAACGAACTTGGGATAAAAAACCCCACAGTGACTGCACACTTCGATCTTATAAAATCAGTATTGATAACTTTATTTGAGATCAGTTGTCTAACGATATTATGCCGATGATACATATATCTTGATTTACCCTTATTCATGAAATTTTGTGCTAATCACATTAAGTATATATATATCGTGGGCACATGTTTCAATCATATAAGAATATCTTCCAAGAAATTTTAAAGCCATTTAGCTTATTCTCTAGATTTTTCTAGAGCTACAAACTCAAATTCCATTGTGGATCTGATTATAACTATTTTTTTGAGGATTTCCATGACACAATTTCTCTTCCCAATGTGAAACACATTAACTTAAGCAATTGATATCTTTAATATCAAACATCCAATTGAAATTTGTTGAAAACATTTTGATGTTTCGATATAACAAATTAAGATAAATAAATTTTAAGATTTTACAAAAGATTTTCTAAGTATATTCGATATAATTATTCGAATATCAATATATTACTCCAAGTCTTTCAAAGTTCAATTTCAATCCTTACTAAAGTATAAAGTTGTGTTTTATACTTAAAATATTTTTGAAACAATTTTCACAAAGTATTTCGAACCAAAAAACGAGCCAAAAATAAAATTTATGAAGGGATACACCGATGCACTCATTGATGCATCGATGCACTCACCATTTCGAATGCATTTTATGCATCGATGCACTTCCATGCATCGATGCACTCAGGTTTTTATGAAAACATCGAATGCATTTTATGCATCGTTGCACATACCATGCATCGATGCATTCAGGCTTGTTTAAAACATCGAATGCATTTTATGCATCGATGCACCCTTAGTGCACCGATACACTAAGTGTTCCAACGGTCGAAATATTTAAAATTTACACTTGATGCATTGATGCACCTTGACTATGCATTGATGCACACATGCTCCCAACTGATTTTATTAATTGTTTTCACACTTAAACGGCTCTATTGACTCCACTAATCATCCCCAACATTCAGAATCAATTGAAGGTGTATTTAAACAAGCTTTGAGTCATTGATCAATAACAAGAAATAAAAATCAAGAGAGAATCAAAGAGAAAGCATCAAAC